ACATGTGATGCTAACATGGTCTAACAAACAGCAAATCAAATATACAACGCAACAGCAGCTTAAGCTAAGCGTGATCTGTTAAATCAGAGATGCTTCGTCGTTTCAGCTGATAATCTGCACACATGTGGAGCGTACATGAACATAAATTAACATGAATTAAGTTCTAAGCAAAGCAAGTTGGAGAAATCTGAACCGAGGCCCCGGGTCACTGTGTGCTGGTCCAGCCCTGCCAGTTCAGCTCTTATTTAAATCAACAACAGTGTTAATCTCCACTAACTCACCAACTCTGAGCACGGTTTATATAATCATGCAATCGGAGCTCAGGAAGTCTTTATTTATTCCTGTTTGTCTGCTTCTTAGAACAGTCGTGAAATGTAAACACATAAGAGAGTGTGCACATGCTAATAAAGTCAAAGTACACCTCCATGCACATGAAGCAGATTAGAATAAAAACGGTGCAGCAGGGTATCTGTGTAAAGTCGTGTTGGCAGAGTCGGGCTCTGCGTGCCTCTGTTACTGAGCTCCATGTAAACCCACCAGGCCTACTGGGGTGACACTGGAAGTGGCAGGCAAATTCCATTTGGCACGATGGGGGCGCCTGCTGTGGCTGACCAGACATGATGACAGACCTCATCCACAGTGGGCACCGAATAAAGAGCTAAGCCGAGCTTTTATACATCAGCAGGGTCCTCTTGTAAGGCAGGCAAGAATTAAAGGAGAAAAACAGCCCGTGCATGGAAGCGTATAGCAAGGGAGGAAAAAACAAGCAGGGGGGGCGTGCAGTTAGAGAGTAACAGCATGAATAAGTGCATTAATTAATCTAATGAACGGATGAATTGCACGGTTTGTTTGCTACAGCCACAACCTATTTGGTCGGCTTCCCAGCACTCCAGTGCGAGCCCAGCCTCATTAACAAGCCCATCACATCTCGTCAAGTGTTCTGCAGCGCCGAGTGACCGCGCTCACAGGGAGCAGGATCCTCATTAACGCCGCCACATATTTACAAACAGCAGTGGAAGCCTCACTCGAGACGTTCAATCACCACACGGCAAACGTCACAGTCACAAATATCATGTGTTGGCTTTAGGAGCGAGCACTTGGACGTGGCTCACAGGGAAAGGTTTGATTCTGGCACAAGAGTAGAAGCGATAATCCCACGCAGGCACAACACAGCAGCTAAAAGACCTCAGACACCCACGCTGGCTGTGGATGATGATGACCTTTAGAAATAAGCTTTCATTTTTCCAGCCCTGCACGATGTGCTGCCAGGTTTCAACAGCGGAGAGACGAGCAGCTTCTGGACCCACAATGCTAATCAGCAGATCCTCCTCAGATCTATAGATGCCCGAAGAAGACAAAGAGTTTATGCAAAGCCAGCACTTACCAGACGAATGGCCTCGATTGGTGGCATCGTGGTCGCTGTCTCCCTGCTCGCTGTCTCCGTGGCCGCTGTCTTTGGAGCTGACCAGGTCGGCCTCCTGGAAGGCTGAACTGAAACGAAGAGAACATTAAGATAAAGCCTATGAAAGACGACCTCGCTTTGTTTTCTTAATCCATGTCAGCATCACAGTAATGGCAGATATCAGCAAACGAGCCAGAAGCTGGTAGAAGAGCTTTTTCCATATTTACCTGTTGACACGTCTCGGCCTGTCGACCAAGTAGCTGAGTTCAGCTCGCTGGTGTTTGGTCTGAAAGAGAAGGGGCCGTTTTTAGTGCGTCTCCTTATGTGGAGAGAACAAAGCAGCAGAAAAACAAAAGAACATCACATCCATCGAGCCAGAGACGACACAACCCACACAGCTTTGAGCTGACGTAACTATTACATGTGTCATTCATCTCCACCAGTGGAGACTTCCTCCCCACAGGGAGGGGAAGCTCTGCAGACATGTTGCCAAGGTGCGAGGTGACGTAGCGCACCTATGACGGCTGCAACATTTTGAACAGTATATATTTAATCCTGGGTGACTGGGCTTCACATATACACCCATTATACCCCCACACCCACCAGCAGCCTCTTTGCCAACATACATGGTCTTTATACAGCTTTTCTAATTTATCAGCCGTGGAAGCACATCATAAACATGCAGTCGTTGCTTTTTAAGGATTGCAAAAGTCAAGCTTTCTCATTTCTATCATACTGTGTTACAGTTGATGCATCGACACTCAGTAACACCCATCTGAAGAGCTAGCATGCCAGTGAAGGGAAATTTGGGGGATGAAATGGCTGCTGAATGTCTCAGGTGTGTATTTCATTCTTATCAGACGTCTAAGGGGACATGAATCAGGTTCAGGCATGCGGAGGAACTCGGATGGAAAGGGAGTTTAAACCGCAGGCAGGAGAGGGGCTCTTACCTCATTTGATAAAATGCTGCCGTTTGATATGATGTCAGGCTGCTGGTCTGTGTACCCTGTCACTATGGCCCCACACGGGTTGTGATCGGTGTCTGTGCTCCTAGAAGGACTACATGGCTTTAGGAACATGAGGTCAGTTTTGGCAGACTCTGGAGTGAGACATACCTGGTAGCAATAGTTCTGGTTTTGGTGGTGGGAGCCAAAGCTCCCAGATTCCTCCACAGGGACTTGAGCCGTGCCAGCCCCGCTGACGTTAACGGCACTTTGCACCAGCATGATATCCGACTTGCTGAGCTTTTTCTTGCGGGCCCTGCCCTGCCGCGAGCAGCAGGAGCTGCAGCCGAAACAGCAGTCGCTGGTCAAGCAGGTATAGATGTTAAGCTTTTTGTCCTTCTGACAGCGCACAGCCAGCACGATCATAACCAGGAGGAAGATGAAGGAGACGGAGCCCAGGGCGATGATGAGGATGAGAGTGAGGTCCAGGGTGCTGTCCTTTGCCTTGGAGGTCCCGCCTTTCTCCCCGCCGCCACGGCCTTCAGCCACACTGTCCACCAGCACCACCAGCACGCTGGCGCTAGAGGACAGAGGCGGCTGGCCGTGGTCTCGCACCTCAATCAACAGGTCGTACTGCTGATGGGGGTCTCGCTTGACCGATACCCGCCTCGCAGTCCTGAGTTCACCTGTCCTCCAGTCCATCCTGAACATGCCGTTCTCGTTTCCCCTCTGGATGCTGTAGGACAGACGAGCGTTCTCTCCATCATCCGCATCCATGGCCACCACACGTGTCACCAGATAGCCTGGCTCAGCAGAGCGAGGCAGCGGCTCCTTGGCTGTGCCGTTCTTCCCCAGGGGAGCCAGCACTAGCGGGGCGTTGTCATTCTGGTCCACGATGATGACTTTGACAGTGGCGTTGGAGGAGAGCTCAGGGGTCCCTGCGTCTTTGGCCTTGACCATGAACGTGAACTCCTTCAGCTGCTCATAATCAAACGACCTGAGAGCGTAGAGGTAGCCCGTCTCCTCGTTGATTGACACGTAGGTTTTGACTGACATGCCCTGGATGTCACACTCTACTATGGAGTAGCTGATGACGGCATTCTGCCCGATGTCCGGGTCCAGGGCCGTCACCGCGTGTATGTACGCCCCTGGCACGTTGTTTTCTGTCACGTACACGTCATATACGGGCTGTGTGAACGTGGGCGCGTTGTCGTTTTCGTCGGACACCTGCACTCGAATGGATTTACTGGTGGCCAGTGACGGCGTGCCTTTATCGCGCGCGACCACAGTGACGGAGTAGGAGTCCGCGTGCTCGCGGTTCAGCGGCCCGTCGGTGACTATAGTGAAGTAATTTTTAAAGGAAGATTTCAGTTTAAACGGGACGTCACCGAGGATCTCCACGTGCACCTGTCCGTTCTCCTCTGCGTCCCGGTCCGTGACGCTCAGCAGCGCGATCACGGTCCCGGGAGCCGCATTCTCGCTCACCGACTCCGTGACAGTGCTGAAAGTGATTTCCGGTGCGTTGTCGTTCACGTCGCTGAGTTTGACGAGGACTTTGCAGTGCGCGGGCACGGCGTTTGGTCCCAGATCTTTGGCCTGAACAAAGATTTGATAGAGGCCGCTCTCCTCGAAATCCACCTCTCCGCGCACCTCGATGCGCCCGGTGCGCGCGTCTATGGAGAACAGGTCTTTGACGCGGCTGGAGATGTGGTTGCTGAATGAATAAACGATTTCTCCATTCAGTCCCTCGTCCAGGTCGGTGGCGTTCAGCTGTATGACGAGCGTGCCCAGCGGCGCGTTCTCCGACAGGCTCACCGTGTACACCGGCTGCTCAAACACGGGCACGTTGTCGTTAGAGTCCAACACTTTGACGACCAGCAGCGCGGTGCCAGTCCGCGGAGGCTGACCGCCGTCCACGGCGGTTAGCACGTACCTGTGCGCCGTCTGTTGCTCCCGGTCCAGCGGCTTCTCCAACACAAGCTCCGCGAACTTGTTCCCGTCCGTCTGGGTCTGCACGTCCAGGTAAAAGAAGTTGTTCGTGGTGATATCGTACGTGCGTAAAGCGTTGGAGCCAACGTCCGGGTCGAACGCGCTCTCCAAGGGGAAGCGGGTGCCCGGAGTGGCGCTCTCTGAGATCTCCACCGTGATATCGGTCTCCGGGAAACTGGGTGGGTTGTCGTTAATGTCCACCACCTCGATTTCAACCCGGAATAGTTCTAATGGGTTCTCCAAGAACACCTCCATGTTTAGCTGACAGCTCGCGCTCTGCTTGCAAATCTGCTCCCGGTCGATTTTCTCGTTAACGAACAGGACGCCGTTCTCCAGGTTCACCTCCAGATAGGGTGTCCGAGAGTTCGGCACCACTTGGAAGCGCCGGGAGGCTAGCTTGGTGAGGTCCAGACCCAGGTCCTCGGCGATATTTCCCACCAGTGTGCCATGGTCCGCCTCCTCCGGGACAGAGTAGCGTATCTGACAGAGCACTCCATCCGCGATGCACAGGACAAGCAAAAGCACAATCATCGCCGTGAAAACAAGTGCACTTGGGTAAAAATATCATATATGTTAGTGAAAAAATGTCAGTTTACATCACCCATTACAGTAAATGCGTAAAGTCTCCAAAATGCGTAAAGTCTCTGTAAATGTACGAGAGGTCCGGAAAACTCTGTGGGATTAAAAAGAGGCGCATTTCATTTCTGACAGGAATCCAAAGGACTCGATGATATTTTTCACTTTAAAAACTGGCTCTGTTACTTTCGCACACGCGTCCAGGTGAAGCCCCAGCGCGCATTCCAGTAAAGCGCAGAATCTCAGGCAGCTGAAAGTTGGAAACATAAATTATAATCCACAGGAAAAACACGCGACTCTGTCTCCAGTGATGAAATCTGCTGCAGACTCTGGCTGTCGGCGTCCTGTTCCTCACTGCAGCCGCCTCCACTCCACTCTCCACTGACGCTCTTCACTCAACTGTTTGCTTTTTTCCCTGAGTCGCGCCTCCCCTCTCAGCCCCCGCAGCTGTAAATCACGCGGAAAGCTCTCTTCTGATTGGCTGTTGGCATTGCTCGTCCGCTCGGCCTTCGTCTCCCTCACTGCTTCTCTATATCTCTCTACCTCCCTCTGAGCGCAGACTGACTTCTCTTAAGGATAGCTGCCTGCAGGCAAAGAGAAAAGGGGACAGGAGCGAGAAGGAATTTATTTCTCAAGTGCGTAACGCCCTTCCCAACTCGTCCGTTATAAAGTGCAGCACTAATGAACCAGGGTGTGATTAGAGTGGAGCACTTGTTGACTTGGTGGCAGAGCCTGTGTGAGCCTGAGGACACGCTGGGCGAGCCAGGTTAATGCATGCAAATGTTGTGATATGCATGTATTCAGCATTCACGTGCTGCTCTCAGGGCTGTGCGATATAATTACAGCCAACGGTAGAAGCGTTACATCTCTGTTCCAACCACACAGCAGTGGAACAGAGAGGCAGGGGGAGCAGCACATCCGCGGAGCGCATACGACCCCTGCCGGAGCAAATGCAAACCAGGGTCTGAATCACGGCACTTCAGTGTAACACAGATAGTTATTGTCACAAGCATACTCTGATTTTATGCGTGGAGCAATGAACGTGGCGAGAGTAAAAGGTAAAAGTGGAAGATGCTATAATTATCTTTTACTGTGAGAGTAGCAAACGCGCAGGCGCGCTGTCGTTCAAACATAAGTGCGGTGAGCAGGCGAATCGATCCGCTAAACAACTTCTGTATATGTCAAAGGGCGGCGAGGTTTCGGGGGTACGTGCCCGCGCAATGAAGTCTCTGTGCCGCGTGGGCTGAACTCTAGTGATACACTTGATTCATAGGCTTTAGTAAAAACACTCATATCACTGACAGGTTATTGCAGTACGAGCTCAACTTCACAGCAGTTTGGCGCGTTTGCAGAAATCGCAGATGGGCCCCTGAAACTAAAAAGAGGTCACGCATCAGCTTTTGACCTTCTTGAAAAGTGCGAAACAAAGAGAGATGTGTTGAGCTCACAGTCACTTTTCCTTCTGTATGAGGAGGTCATCGAGCCTCTTCGCTCCTGGTTTGTGTCTGCAGTCTAACAGAGATGTTTCTGCTTTTTCTTTAGCGCAGTAACAAAATGATTTGTGATTTTGGTCCTCAGGTGACACGAGTGCTGGAGTCAGCTGCAGCTCCGTCTGTATGTTGTGGTCACTCGGGTTTCTGGGTCCATCATGGACGTTAGAGAAGATCACATGTGTTGTTCACAGAATAAACAAACAAAAGGACTGATAAGAAGAACAGGATGTGGTAGATATCTCAGCATGTTTCATCTGCAGGAAACCTGTCAGTACTTTATTCTGCTGGTTACTCAGTAACACAGACTCGACTGCTTTGACGACTGAATGCAACACATTTTAGAAAATCTACGTTCTATTAACAGAAATCCAGAAAGTAACTGTAAACACTGAACTTTGGTATTTGCATCGTTATTTCAAGCAGGAAATGTTAGTCAGTTTAAAGGAGGGAGCGTAACACGCTCAAAATCAAGGATCTGTACCAGAAGTTCCTGATTTTTAATATAGATTATAGAGTAAATTTAGTTTTATAACGAAATGTTACTTTGTGATTTGTATTTTCCCCTCTGCTTGTTTTATAGATTTAGTTTGACGTCAGCTGTTGGAGAATGAATTGCATGAAGGAACCGAGACATTAATGTGCAAAAGTCTCAATTCTTCATATTTTGCAGGGAAAGTAGCTGCAGCGCTTTATCGAAGCGTGTAAATATACATGTTCTTCTTCTTTTGCTGCTCCCTTTAGAGGTCACCACAGTGGACGGTCTGCTTCCATCCTCAGCATCCTCCTCCCTCACACCAATCCTCTGCTTGTCCTCCTTCACTGCATCCTACCAACCTTTATACTCGACGTTTGTCTCTGAGGGTTTGACCTGAGCGTCTCTCTGATACACTCCTTCCTGTCCAAAGACAGACATCGACCACAGACATCGACCACAGACATCGACCACAGACATCGACCACAGACCGTCAGAAAACCTGCAAAACTAGTGAGCAAGAAAACTAGACAATGAGAAAAGATGGGAAACACACAACAGGTGTCACAGTTAAATTATGACCTCATCACTTTGACCTTTGACCTTAGCTTAAACAGCTGCTCTGTGCCTACAGCTGAGTGGGGAGAGGAGCTGCTCTGAGACCTAGTGCTCCCCCTAGTGAACCACTACACAACACACAGCCCTCTCCTCTCTGCACAAACTCTGAACTCGAAAATCTCCACAAACTCACACGAGTGACACACAGCGAGGGAAACAGACGCACAAGTGCGTGATTCACGTTGTCTGCAGACTGTCAGAGCAGCACAAGAAACATGAATCGGTTCAAAGAACTTATTTTCTAAATCCAGTCAGTGCTGCGGTCAGATACGGATCACCATGACGATAGTGAGCTGAGTGACAGAGCAGCGCTGGGAGAAGTGGACGTGCACACGCTCAGCACTGATGCAGGGAGAGTTTTCACAAATATCATCACAGCTCGTTCGTCCATGCAAACCAACACGCTGAGACAGCAGCAGCAAACATTTTATCACTGTGTCGAGATTTTACACGATTGTAACAATTTATGTTTCATTTTACAGCTAAAAGCACGTTTGATAAAGTAATGCTCAAACATTCAGGAAGCTTAGAGAAAAGAGGAGAGTGGCCTAAAGCAATCTCACCCACGAGATAATTAGAGCAGGAGAAGCAGCTCGTAATCATTAAGTGTGATAAAGCTACAGGGACTTTTCACCGTCACCTTGCTGCGTGCCACACACTTCACTTTTCCATCACTTTGTGACTTTTGTTTCTTTTTAAAGGACCTTCATCGTGCACCCAGCAGTGCATACTCTCTTATATAGAAGACATTTGTGGAGCAGTGTGCAAATACTCTGTACTTTTCAAGACACAACAAGGTTCTTTCTTTTTTCTAAATACAATATAAAAACAATTAAGAAGTAACTGAATACTGTTTTAAAATGACTCGCTGCCCCGTGGTGGTGGCTGCAGCTCAGGAGGTCGTGCAGGTCACCTGCTAACTGGCAGGTTGATGGTTTGATACCTGGCTGCTCCAGCCTGCATGCCAAATATCCTCGGACAAGACACTAACGCCAAGCTGCTCTCTGATGTGACCATCACAGTGTTTAATGAATGAAAGGAGGTAAAGGTAAAAACACTGTATAAGAACCGGTCCATTTATCGTTTACTCAACTGCTAGTTAAGATAAAAATTGGTCTAACCCACCTGCCTTTGGATCTGAACCAGCACGATCAGGTAAAAGTCTTTCGAGTGGCATTTTCAGCTGTTAAAGGACCGTCAGCATGTCTGTGGTAAAAACTGGAGACAGACACACAACACTGTAGGAAAAGCTCGTTTCTCATGTCAGACAGGGGCTGTTTGTGTTTGTTCTCACTTTTTGAAGCCGACAATCCAACATTTACAAACACTTAATGCTGCGTGGAGACCAGAGAGGAGCCACTCACTTCACTTCTCTTTCTCAGTCCTTTTCTTTCTCAGCTATTTTATATCTATATAT